GGGCCCCGCCAGGGCCAGCTGCGCGCTCCCCGGGGCCGCGGCGGTGAGCGGGAAAAACAAGGATCACCAATAGTTATGGGCGGGACAGCTGAGCGTGCCCGAGCGCTCAGTCTCTGCTAGGCGCGCGCCTTTCAGCCCTGCAGCAACCCGAGGAGGTGGGGAGGCCCCTCACCCTGGTATAACCTGAGCCCATGTTTCCTCTGCCCACAGCCCTCCAGGGCTCCCACCTCCTTGGAAGGAGAAGCTCAAGTCCTCCCTGTGGCCCACTAGGCCCTGCATGATCCCGTCGCTCCCTCTGCTCCAGCCACACAGGCCTCCTTGCTGTTCCTCCAACAGGCAAGGTCGGGTCCTGCCCCAGGGCCTTTGCACTGGCTGTGCCTGCCACCTGGAACATCTGCTTCCAGACGTCCACGTGGTTCCTTCCCTCACCTCCTTTGGTACCTTGCTCAATGGTTCCTTCCTTCACCTCCTTTGGTACCTTGCTCAAATGTCACTTCCTCTCACCACCTCCCCATCTCTCTTCCCAGCTTTCTTTCTCCCCTCAGCCCTGAGCACCCCGTGACATGTCAGATATTTTACTTATTCATCTTGTGTCCTGTCTATCTCCTCAACTAGAATGTCAGCTCCAGGAGGACGGGGGTTTCCGTCTCTTGTTTCTCCCCGCTGTACGCTGGTACCCAGTGCCTGGCACACTGCGGGCGCCCAGGCAATCTTTAGTAGGGAGTGAATGGACCCCCACGTTACAGATGAAGAAGGAGGCTCCAGGCGCCAGGAAGCGTCTGCCAGAATCCCCTGGATTACAACCCCTAGGCCTCCACAGACAGGAAGTTGAGCTCAATAAACAGGAGTCCTATCTAGGGGGTGGAATGCCATGCAGCAGGACAACAGAGGGCCCTCCGGTCTTGGAAGAATCTCAGAAACCAAACATTGATGGGCAAAGGCAAGTTGCAGAAGGCTTTAGAACATTCGAGAAAATTTATGTAAAGCTTGAAAACCTGCAAAACGTGACACAGCCACACCGTGGACGGACCCTGAACACACGACGCTCAGTGAGAGAACCAGACACAGAAGGACACACGGTGTGTGATCCCATTGATGTGAAATGTCCAGACCAGGCACATCCACAGACAGACAGTGGGTTTGTGTTTGTCAGGGGCTGGGGAGGGGATGGGAGTGACTGCTGATGAAGACGGGGTTTCTTTTAGGAGTGATGAAAACGTCCTGGAATTAGATTGTGCTGATGGTTGCACAACTTTGTGAATACATTAGAAGCCACAGAATTGCACGCTTTAAAAAAAAATGAACTGGAACAAAAAAAAAAAAACCTCTTCAAAATGATGCTCTTTTAGGAAGACATACTTATGCGCTAAAAGTCCATAAAGACCCAGCCGGGAATGATGAACTCCCAATTTGAAAGGGGGTACCTGTGCCAGGGCAGAGGCGGGACTAGGGACACACACCTGGAGGGGGGGAGGTGACACTCTCCAGTGGTATCTGTCTTCGAGGGCAGCCATAATAAGGTACTACAAAAGGGTGACTTAAAACAGAAATGTGTTCTCTCCCAGTTCTGGAGGCTGGAGGTCCACCTGAGTGTCAGCAGGACCGCAGTCTCTCTGAATCTTTCCTCGCCTCTCCTGGTTTCTGCTGGTGGCCGGCAATCTTTGGGGTCCCCTGGGGTCTCCAGTGTCCGCCTCTGTGGTCCCACTGCTGTCTCCTCTGTCTGTCTGCGTCCGAATCTTTATCTTCTTATAAGGACACCAGTGGTATTGGAGTAGGGGCCCACCCTGGTCGGGGTGACCTCATCTTAACTAACTACATCTGCAATGACCCTATTCCCAAATAAGGGCACATTCTGAGGTTATGGGGGTTACAATTCCAGCATTATCTGTTGCATCTGTAATTCAACCGCTAACACGGGGGTTTTTCAAATTGTTCTCCCAAATTTTTAGGATGTCTTAAATCTTCGAGTCAACACAGACGTCTCTGAGGGGGGTCCCCAATAAGTTAAGCATAGAATTATATGACCCGGCATTTCCTCTCCAGGGGATCTACCCAAGGGAATTGAAAGCAGATGTTCAAACCAAAACCTGTCCAGGCGAGTTCACAGCAGCATGATCCACAGCGGCCGAAAGGTGGAAACAGCCCAGATGTCCATCAGTGGATGATGGATAAACTCAGTGTGGTCCATCCACGTAGGGGAATATGACGCAGCCATGAAAAGAAGTGAAGCCCTGACACAGCCACACCGTGGATGGACCCTGAACACACGATGCTCAGTGAGAACCAGACACAGGTCACACGGTGTGTGATTCCATTGATGTGAAATGTCCAGAACAGGCACATCCACAGACCGGAAGTGGGGTCATGGTTGTCAGGGGTGGGGGAGGGCAGGCCTGGGACCCCCAGCAGGGGCATCTTGGGGGACCCTGGGCACATCTTCTGGTCCATTCCCACCAAAAATACCCCACATGCACAAGACTGGAATTCAAATTCCACTTTTTTATTTAAAGAGTCCAGACTGGGTGGTGGCCAAGGGGCCACTCCACGAGGGTCCCTCTGCTGGACGAGAGCGGGGTGGTCAGTACCAGCCCCCCATTCTGGGATGCAGGCCGGGGGCCCCACCCCGAGTGTGGGAGCGGGTCCCCGCAGCGTTCCTGTCTTTGGGGGGGGCTTGTGGTGAGCACCAGCCGGCGTCCCTGGGTCTCAGGTGGGGGTCTCCCCTGCCCTGGGTCTGGGGGCCGGTCCCGGAGAGCCAGTGTGACCTTCCCGTGTCCTGGGTTACGCTGCTGTGTGTGGTGCCCCCACGTCCCTGTAGTGTGTGACGTGCTCTGGGAGGTGAGCAGCCTCGCAGGCCCTGGGGCCGTGGGGTTCTAAGTGTGTCTTGTAGGGCGCGTGACTTCTGGGCTGGGGTGCTGGGGGGGTGAAAGCTAGAAGGATGCTGTAGAAATTTAATTTTAGGGGGGCTGCAGCCCCCAAGGTGCAGGATTGGGCCTGGCCCCAAAGGGTGGCCCCCACCCCTCCTCCATGGGGTGGCGGTGGGGAAGGGGCTGCGACCAGAGCTTGGTCTTCTCTGGATCCTGGGGCCGCTGACAATCTCATAGGTGCTCGCTGTGACAGGAGAGAGGCAGGGACTCGTGATGAGGGACCCCCATCATCTCTCAGCCCCCACCCCCACCCTCAGCTCCTCCAAACAGATGCCAGTGTCAGGGGCCTGGAGCTAATCCCACATAACCCTGGCAGCCGGGAGACACCCAGAAAAACCCACGGAGAAGCTCCAGGGAGGTTCTGGGCCCGCCCTGCGGATCCGGCCAAGGGGGGCAGGCAGATCCCACCCAGCAGCATTAACACAGCACCGGCCTGATCAGCGCCCCCCAGCGGTCAAATAGCCGCCTGCGTCAAATAAGCCCCATCTGGTGGCTCCCCCAAGGGCGGAGGCCTCGGAGGAGATCCCGCAGCGGGGTCCCACCCGGCAGCGCCCACAGACCCGGGGACCCCACTGGAGAGCGAAACCCTCTCATTTCCGCCGGGCCCCCGACCCGGGCGGAGCGGCCCCGCGGCCACCTGGCGGCACGCACCTGGCGACCTGGGCCAGGATCTCCTTGATGCGCACGATGAGCTTCTCGTGCTGCGCGGGGTCGCGCTCGATGGCGCCGTGCAGCCGCGCCATGTAGAAGTCCAGGGTGCCGAGCGTGGGCGTCTCGCCCGTGCCTGCGGAGGGCGGGGCGGTCAGCCCAGCGGGCCGGGGCTCCCGGGGCAGAGGGCAAAGGGTGGGGGCTGCAAGGGTGGGGTCCTGGGGGGCGGCCGCGTCACTGGGGTCGCGTGGGGGTCAGGGCGTCTGCACCCGGGGAAGTCAAGGTCGGCTGTGGGGAGGGGGCACAAGGTGGGAGTGGCGAGGCTGGGGTCGTCGTGTGCGTACGGGGGCGTTAGCCAAGGTCAGCTGGGGACAGCTGCGGAAGGCGGGGCGGAGCGGGCCGCGAGGGCACGTGGGCGGGGCGGCGAGAGAGCAGGGGTCGGGGGAGCCGGGGGCAGGGTGCTCTGGGGAGGAGGGGTCATCAGGGGCGGAGCTCCGAGTGGCCAGGGGCGGGGCCAGCGAGGCGGTAGTGGGGAAAGGTAGGGTCAGCAGGGCAAGGGGGCGGAGCCCGCGGGGAGGGACTCGCGATAATCAAGGGCGGACCTAGAATGGCTGGGGGCGGGACTCGCAGGGCAGGGTCACGGGGCGGGGCTGGTAGGCCACGGTTATAAAGGGCAGGTCTCTTGATGGTCAGGGTCGGGGCTCGCGGATCAGGATCACGACTCGCGGCGGCCGGGGGCGGGGCTAGCAGGGCGAGGGGCGGGGCCTGGCTGTCGGGGCAAGGGGCGGGGCCCGGCCGTCAGGGGCGGGGTCAGCAGGGCCAGGGGCGGGGCTAGCGGAACGATGCGCGGGACTAGGGTGGGGCGGGGCTAGCGGGGCGATGGGCGGGGCCAGGGGCGGGGCGGGCGCGGGGCTCGCACCGGGCACGGGCAGCGAGGCGAAGCTGGCGGTGAGCGCCTGGCGCACGGCCTGGAGCTGCTGCTGCAGCGCCAGCGTGCGCCGCTCCTCCAGCGCCAGCTCCTGCTCCAGGCGCTCGCGCGCGCTGCTCATGCTCTGCGTGTGCCGCTGCAGCACCGCGTTCTGCTCCTCGAAGGCCACGTTCATCTTCCGCAGGCGCCGCAGCTCCGCCTCCCGCGCTGCAGCGGGGGGGCCGGGTCAGGGCCTGGCGCCGCCTCCCCTCCCCACCCCTCCGCTCGGTCCTCGCCCCGCCGCGCCGCCGCCGCGCCTCCCTCCCCGCTCCGCCTCCAGCCCCACACCTCAGCTCCCGCGCCAGGGAGGCGGGGCGGACGGCGCCTGCTTCTAGAGGTCAAGTCCCCCAACCCTGACTCGGCCTTGGCGCCCTCGTGGCCCAGCCTCTCTCCCGCCACCTGCCTCCGCTGAATCCCCACGAAGAATCCCCTGTCGCCAGCGCTCACCTTTGTTTTGGTCCAAGAACTCTTCAGTGAAGATGGGCACGTCGAAGGTGGAGAAGCCGTCGCAGTCCCCACCCTGCGGCGACAGGACAAGGCGGCAATGTTTTTTTTTATCGGGGGGCGGGTGCAGCCAAACTCCCCCTGGGATGTCCCGCAAGCCTAGGAGGGTCTCCTCCGGCCCCCTGGGTCGGAGTCCGTTTAACATTCCCAGGTGTCGCTGCCCCCTTCGGCTTGCACACCTGGACTAGGGGCGCCCACTTCCTCCCATGGGCGTTGGTCCTGGCTCACCCAGGGGTCTAGACCTCCAGACCTTTCTCGCCCAGTGCTCTCCTAGGAGGAGGGGCGCTTACCTTGTGTCCGTTCAAGAGCGTGTTCATGAGCCCGGAGCCGGAGTCCTCTGGTGGGGGAGGGAGGAGGGCTGGGTCAGCCTCCCAGGTCTCCTCTGACCCCATGCTTCACATAGGTTGTTCCCCCTGCCTGGAATACCCTCCTTCCCCTCGCCCTTGGTCAGCCCCACTCATCCTGGTGCAGGCTCCCCGCCTGGGCCCCCCCGTGTCTGTGTCCCCATCTCAGCACCGATCCGCCCTGTTCATTCCCAACTGTGGTTATGTGTCTCGTCCCCACTGGCCTGTGCGCGCCATGGAGGGGGTGGGTCGGTCTGCCCGGGTCACCTGTCAGAGCAGACACTCAGCTGCCTCGGGCGGGGCCCTCCCCACCTTTCTTGATCTTCTTCTCCTGGATCTTCTCTGCGCACATCTTGTAGGCCTCCGACTGCTGGTACGCCCGCAGCTCCTTCATGTATTGCTGCTTCTCTCGCTCGGCCTCGTCCAGGTACCGCTGGCGGGGGCGGCACGACAAGGCTTGGCCCAGCCGGGGGCAGGGCAGGCCTCGGAGGGAGGCCAAGACCCCTCTCCATCACTCGGCTCCCTGTGCTCCACTCCCCAGGGCGCCCTACTGCCCTCCAGACAAAACCCCACCCTCTGCCTGCTCCTCGGGGCCCCTCCCAGCTCCCGCGCCCCAACTCTGGCCTCTATGACCCCCGCCCCCCCCCGTGCCTGAATCACTGCAGCCCCCACCTCCATGCTGTGCCCATGTCTGGACCGCCCTCCCGCACCCACTTCTGCCTGCTGAAATCCCACTTAGAAGGTGCCAACTGCTGGTATTTTTTGTTACGTTTCTGTGATGCTTTTGCAATTTCTGAATGAATCACCAGGATTTGAAAATCGGAAGGTTTCCCATAAAACTCCAGCCCCCACCCTACTTCTTTAGCCAGATCCACATTGGTTATTCAGTTTCACATCTACTCTGCCCAGGACTACCCTCCCCTGCCTTCACCAAGCCGGAGAGGGCCCATGGGTGGTCAGGTCTCCAGGCGGAAGGAGGGACCCTCCACGCCGGCGCCTTTGGGGAATGTGGCTGTCGGGGGGTGTCCGAGTTTGGGGGGAGGTCAGTGGTCCCGCGCCTTCCCCACCTGCTTCTCTGCGGGCTGCAGCTTGCTCCACTCGGCGCCCAGCATCTTGGTGATCTCGGGGAAGGGCAGGTCGGGGTGGCGCGTGCGGATCTGCTCGCGCCGCTCGTTCAGGAAGCGCACGTAGCCCGTGACAGGTGCCTTGGGCCCGTTCGGCAGGATCTTCTTCCGCTTCTTGCCCTTGGGCCAGCCTCGCTTCTTCACGGGCTGCAGAACCGGACCGGCCGTTAGGAGGGGCCTGGAGGGCTGGGGCGGGGCTCAGAGGGGCGGGGGCGGGGCTAGGCAGGTGGGCGGGGCCTATCCAAGAGCTAGGACCTGGAAGGCCTGGGGACATGACCTGGTCAGGGGGTCAGGATTGGGAAAGGAAAGTTAGGGGAACCCTGGCCAGGGGTGAGGGGATCAGAGGTAGTTGGGACACAGGTTCAGCCCGGGGTGGGGCTGGCTCATGTTGTGGGCGTGGCCTCTGGGACGTGGGCGTGGCTTCTGCGCTGGAGGGAAGGCCCGTAGGACGATGGGAAGGTTCCTCCCGCGGGGAGGGGAGCACAGGGTAGTAGGCGGAGCTGGCACTCGGCGGTGGGCGGGGCCTTGGCTTAGACTGGCAGTGGGCCTCCTGGGGGCGTGGCATCTGACAAGGGGTGGGGTCTCCCCCTCCGGAGGGAAATCTGGACTGGGGGCGGAGCCACAGCGAATTCAAATCTAGTCCGGGGCGGGGCTTCAAGGCTGGGGGCCAGACCCGGGACCTCCCCGACCACAGTGCGGGGGCTCTCACCTCCTCCTCGTGCGACCCCTTCTCGCCGGCCCGCGGGCCCTCGCCGCGCTCTTGCTTGACAGCCACCACGAAGCCCGCATGCTGGCCCGGAGCCTTGCCGCCCGCCGGCCTGGAGCCACGGGACACCAGGGTCACCCCCACCTCCCACCTCCCCCACCTCCCACCCCGACGGCGGATCTGGCAGCGAGGGTCCTGGGAGGAGGGGTCGGGACAGGGGCACTAGGGGAAGCAATGGGGAGCCCTGGGGGGGTGGCTGCCCCAAGTGGGGGGACTCAGGACCCTGGGGGGCGGGGGTCGAGGAGCTCCGACGGGGCGGGCGGGGGCTGGACTGCACCCCGAGTGGGCTGGGGGAGGGGATGTCGCACTCACGCGGCGGCCGCGCCGGGCTGTTTGGGGCCGTGGGACATGGCCGCTCCCGGCCGCACCTGGAACGCAGACGCGTGGCCGAGTGAGGGGCGCCCGAGCGGCCGACGGCGGGGCCCGGCAGGGGAGCCCCGGAATGCCGGGTCCGGGGCGCTTGGCGGGGCCGGATCCGGGGGCGGGGAGGCCCTCGAGGGCGGGCGCCCCAGGGATCCTTTGTTGGGCGATCCCCCCCCGGGAGGCCCGCGTCCGCCCCGCCCCGGCCCGGGAGGCGCCCCGCCCCGGCCCCGGGACCCCCGCGCCCCCGCCCCCTCGCAGGGCCCCGAGTTCCGCGGCTGTTTTCACCTCCAAAGAAACTTTCCCGGACCTCTCGGCTGCTGCGACGCTCCAACCAACCGCCCCGAGCCCGCCCCTGCCTTCCGCCCCGCCCCGCTCCTCCCCCGGCATGCTAATGACGGCCTCCGCGAGCGGCCGATTGGGTGCGGCCTCCCCCTGGGGCGTGACCATGCAGATAAGGGTCGGCGCGCCGCTCGCCGATTGGCTGGGGTGGCCGCTGAGCCGCGTGGGAGGTGGGTGGGGAAGGCTGCGGGCGGGTGCGTCAAGTTCGGCTGCGCTCGGCCGCTGTCGGGACCAATCAGGGCGCTCTGAGGCCTCACCGGGCGGAGCCTCTTAAAGGGCCAGTAGGCGCGGCGCCGGCTCCTCCTCCCCGACTGAAGGCAAGACTCCCCGCCCCTGCCAGATCCGGGGACCTGCGGAGCCGAGTCGGGCCCCGCCCCGGTTGCCATGGGGACGGCGGCAGGTTGCTAGGGAAGGCGCTAAGGTCCTTCGGGCCAGCCCCCTGCCCCAGGGCAAGGTGAAACCTGTTCTTAGCACCCTGTAAACCTGGCTGGGGCGTTTCCCATTTAGCCACTGGACTTAGGGCCCTGCTGTGAGCCCGCAGGGCTTTCCCCCTGGGGCCTGGGCTTTCCCTGCAGTGCACTGGGGACATTCACTCTGTCCGGGACCAGGAGGATGGGGTGCTGCGAAGCTGAGACCGGGAGCTGGGGCTGGGATCAGGAGCTGGGCTGAAAGCATTTGGAACAAAGTGGTGCGACAGGAAGGCTTCAAGGAGCTCGTGAAGGTGGAGGGGCGGAAGGCTCTGCCCTGGGATCTTGGGGACCCCCCCAGGCAGCAGACTGGTCATCTTATGGCCTGGGCTGGGGCTGCCCCTGCTCCCAGGTTGCCAGTTGGCCCATTAGACCCTAAAGAGTCTGCCCACATCACCTCCCTACTCTCACCTCCCTCCACTCTCCCCCTCACTTTCCCCACACCGGCCTCCTCCAATATTCTTCAAATACGTCCGTTTCATTCATTCCCATCTCTGGGCCTTTGCACTGGCTGTTCCCTCCACCTGGAGTGCCCGCCCCAATTATCTGCCTGGCTCACTCCTTGATCTCCTTCAGGTCTTTGCTCAAATGTCCCCTCCTCCGTCAGGCTTGAACCCCACCGCACACACCCCGTCTTATTTTTCCCCATATGTCCATTTCCCCCATATGACCTGCCTCTTTGTTCATTGCCATATTCCCAGCGCCGAGAACAGTGCCCAGAGTCGCTGCTCAATGCATATGCGTTGAATGGACGAATGAATGCATTTCCCGTAAATTTCTAAGAGGCAGGTGCAGCCGCTTTGGAAACCAGTCTGGCAGTTCCTCCAAAGCGGAAATAAACATGGAGTTACCGTGCGATCCAGCAATTCCACTCCCTAGGGATATGCCCGAGAGAATGGGAAACGTGTGTCCACACAGAAACCTGTACACGAGTGTTCACAGCAGCAGGATTCACAACAGCCCCAAAGTGGAAACAACCCAAATATCCCTCAACTGATTAAGAGAGAAACAAAATGTGACCCAGTCATCCGATAGAATGGTATTGCCCATAAAAAGGAAGAAATTGCTGATTCATGCTACAACACGGACGAGCCTGGAAAACATGACGCTCAGTAAAAGATGCCAGTCACAAAAGGCCACAGGGTGAGTGATCCCATTGATGTGAAATGTCCAGAACAGGCACATCCACAGAAACAGAAAGTGGGCTCGTGCTTGCCGGGGGCTGGGGAATTAGTGGAGGGGGGAATGAGGTTTCTTTTTAAGTGATCAAAATGTTCTAAAACTAGACTTTGGTGATGGTTGGGTAATTCTGTAGATATACTAAAACCACAGAATTGCACACTTTAAATGGGTGCATTGTATGGTATGTGAATTACATCTTAATAAGCCTGTTTGCCCGAGAGGCAACCTAGGGCCAAGGAAGATGAGCTGCCCTGGAATCTCGACAGACCCAGATTCCAGACCCTGCTCTGTTGCTTCATCGGCTGTGCGAGCTCCTGCCGCGCCTCCCTGCTTGGTCCCAAACCATCTAGGTGAGACTTCCAAGCTGGAGGCAGCGGAAGACCCGCCCTCCGAGCCCCGCCTCTTTCGCTTGATTGACAGAGCTGTTGTTGCCATAACAACTGCCCCTCCCCTCCCGAGGTACCACACAAAGATTTCAGCGGTCTCCTTGCACATCAAAACGAAATGAAAAGTTCTGAGGTTGCTTTTGAGAGCAGTTTGGAGCTCCTTGGCCTCAAGAGAAATGCCTTGCTGCGTGGATATTTTCTAGAAAAAATAAAAATGTCTTCAATCTGAACTGCATTGCCTTCCGTCCAATTCATGCAATCCATACACCCTCCCACCCCACAAGCAACAGATAAGCAGCATTTGTGTTCTTTGACCTTGCATCCTTCATACATTTATCTAAAAGCAGATCCTTTTTGCCCTCTAACTGTAAATCGGTTTGTCCGAGCAACATGAATTTCTTAGTTCCTAGCTCTCAGCAAACCAGTAACCAGAGCTGCCTAAAGCCATATAATTTTGTTAATTTCTTTGCATTCCTTTCTGTGCTTCATTTGGAAATCTTTATAGTGTGAAACCAGCAAGAATATCCCAATTTGTGGTCCCAGAAACAGGAGATCCATTAAGGATGGCTTCAACGTCTTTGCTTTTGAAATTAATTTTTATTTACTTAGTTTTAATTTTTAAAATTTTTTCCCCCAAAGCCCCAGTAGATAGTTGTATGTCATAGTTGCACATCCTTCTAGTTGCTGTATGTGGGACGCGGCCTCAGCATGGCCGGAGAAGCGGTGTGTAGGTGCGCGCCCGGGATCCGAACCCGGGCCGCCAGCAGTGGAGTGCGGGCACTTAACCGCTAAGCCACCGGGCCGGCCCTGAAATTAATTTTTAAATGCGAATTGATTTCATTTGTACAAAAGTAAAGTAGTGTAGTTAGAGCCACCATACCTCCGCCATACTCCCCATTAGCAGCTTGTTACATTTCTGACTAAAACTTTTCCTACAAACTGGGTGACTTAGACAACAGAAATATATCATCTCATAGTTCTGGGGGCCAGAAGTCCAAGAGCGAGGACTTGATCAGGGCTGGTTCCTTCTGAGGCCATGCGGGAGAGTCTGTTCCACGCTCTCCTAGATTCTGGGGGTCACTGGTGATCCTTGGCTTTCCCTGGCTTGTAGACGCATCACCCCGATCTCCGCCTCTATCTTCACGTGATGTTCTTTCTGTGAGTATGAGTCTGTGTCCACATTTCCTTTTTTATTAGGACGCTAGTCACATCAGATCAGGGCCTGCCCTATTCCAGGGTGACTCATCTCAGCTGATGACATCTGTAATGACCCTATTTCCATATAAGGTCACATTCTGAGGTCCTGGGGGTTAGGACTTCCACCTGTTAATCTGGGGGGGGGCGCACAATACAAAGCACAACACACTCACACACACGTACACATACCTGTGTGTGTCCGTGTATTCCTCTAAGAGATGTGAGGTCATGTCCTACTTTTTATGATCACACTGGTCCTTCCTGCTCCTTCCACGCCATAACCTTTCTTCCAGTGCCTGTATACAGTAGGTGCACAGCAGTGCCTCATTCACCCTGGGCTGGGTGACATTCCACTGAGTGACTGCACCGCCGCGTGGTTCATGAGTCCTGGCTGACTCACCTTATGGTCCTGCCCAATATTGCTCACTACGGCCCCCACTACAAATGTCCCCCACCTGCTGTCTGGGCTCCCGGACTGCTTCTCCAGGATAGGCAGGAGGACACGAAATTGCTGGGCTGCGGCGTCTCCTGTTTAAATTTTTCATGCTTATTTGCCAATAGGGGGTGCTTCAACTGTTCTGCACCCCCCAGGAAGAATCAAGCCGCCCTCGGTGCTCCCAGAACATCCCAACCCTCCTCAGGCCTTTTTAAGGGGCGAAGTTATTACAGGGGATTGCTGTAACAGGTCTTGACGGGAAACACAGGGGTAGCAGCTGCCTGAACAAAAGGATGTGGGGACGGGGTCTCAGACTTCTGAGGACGCTGGACCCTCAGAAGCTTGTGGGGGCGGCGCTGAGCCCCAGCTGTGTGATGTGAGCAACTGATGAAAACTCTCTGTGCCTCGGTTTGCCCCTCTGTGAAATGGGATAATAACCGGGTCTACTGTATGAAGTTGTTCGAAAGATCTAATGAGTTTAATTCACGCCTGATGCTCAGAACGGGGCCTGCCAGTCAGGCTACGTAAAATGTTAGTTTCGTCCAGGAAGACTCAAACGCCCGTTACAGAGAATTTCTGGTGGAGTGCTTCCCACCCGGGGCCGATTCGTCCCCCAGGGGACATGGGGCCAGGTCTAGAGACACTTTTGGTTGTCACGATGGGGGGTGCTCCTGGCACCTGCACAGGACAACCCCCCACCACAAAGAAGAATCTGGTGCCAGGTGTCAATAGCGCTTCCCACGGCCTCCAGGAACCTACTTAGTGGTGTTTTCTCACCTCCAATTTACAGAAAGGGAAACTGAGGCTCGGTGGCTTGCCTGAGACTGCCAGGATGTGATCCTGCCGTGGCTGCCAGAGCCCACAGCCACCGCAGGATCTCAGGAGGCATCTGCTGAGCCTCAGAACCCTCCCCCACTCCCTCCCCTCCACCCAAGACCCGGTCATCCTGGGCCTGGGTCAGAGAGCCGATGAAAGAGAGCATCCCCCATCCCGAGGCTGGATGGGGGCCAGCAGGACATCTGATCTCCGGCCAGGGGAGGGGGGACGCCGGCGTGGCGTCCGGGCAGCTGGGAACGCTCTGGGGACATCAACAGCTGCCCGGATCTCTCCCGACCCTGGGCCTGTCTGTGCGTCTGTCCCACCCCGAGGCCTGGGCATTCATCTCTCCTTCCCTACATCCCTCACTCTGGGCAGGGCCTTCTCTGATCTTCCAGGCCAATCTGAGCACCTCTGTCATTCGGGGCACAAGTGCCCTCCACTGGTTTCCCCACCCACGCAGCTGGGGCCTGTTCTGGAACAAACCACCCCACCCCCATCCCCCAGGGGACTTTTTTATCTGACCTTCCCACCCTCCCTCAGAACCCTCCCATGGCTCCCCAGTGACCGGAGGGTGAGGTCCTGACTCCTTATCTGTCATTCCGTCCCCCTCCTGGGCTGAGTCCTCCAGCTGCAGGCTGACCCCGGGAGGCTGTTGCCCGCTCAGACTAGGGGCTTCAGAATCTTCCTGGCTTCAGCCTCTCAGGCAGGAGGCCAGATCCACTGAATGAAGGAATCCATGAACGAACGAATGAAAGAATGAATGAATGAATAACATGTCTCAGGGATAAGAAACTTAGGCTAGTGTATTTCTAAAAGTTATCTTTCATTTCCCTCAGAGAACCCCAACAGGAGCATGCCCTGCGGGAGGAAAGAATTGATGTTCTTATCTCCCCTTATCCCCCGATCTCTCCAGAGCGGTCTACCCCTTATCTCCCCCTTCCCCTGCTAGATTGCTCTCTGAGTCCCCGTGACTCCACTGCACCCATTCTGTGGGCTCCTTTTCACAAAAGACTGGGCACTGCGGTGGGCGGTCTGCGTCAGCTTGGGGGGTCTGGCCGGGGTGCCCCTTGGGCTACCCGCTCCTCAAGTTTATAAGTGCGTCCCTGTCTGTTTCCCCGTTTCTGTCTGCGTTTCTGATTCTCGGCCTATATGTCCACCACTCAGTCATTCGACAGATATTTCTTCAGCCCCTACTGTGTGCTGGGGACAACGCAGCACTGAGACCGCCCGTCCCTGCGTCTCTGCCTTCACGGGGCTCACCGTCCAGTGGGGGAGACAGAGTCACAGCTGGGGAAGGGGGAGAGCAGATGTCAGGGCTGGCATGGGGGCAGCCCAGGGAACCGTGGGGACCCACAATGGTAACTGATGGGTAGGAGGGGGTGCTGAGGAGGCTTTCTGCTGAGAATATTAACAGCTAACACTGATAACATGCATTATACCCATTCCAGAGCTGGGGAGACTGAGGCTGCCCGGAGTTAAGGGGCTTGTCTCAGCTGGAACAGCTGGGAGAGGGTGCGGCTGGATCCGGACCCCCCGATTCCGGCTCCAGAGTGCAGGTTTGTAACCGCTGCCCCAAGAGGCCTGGAGGCCGGGGAACCGCGCCCAGCGCTTGGAGGAACTTGAAACCGCTGGTGTGCGACCCACCCGTGGGAGGGCCGTCGGAGGAGGGTGGGCAGGGACCCAGAGCACCGGCCTCGGGTGGCACGCACCTGACTCACCGTGCACCCCCGAGCACCCCTTCCCTCTCCGGGCCTGTTTCTCGTCTGTTAAACCGGAGACACACTGGCTCCGCCTCCCGCCCGGCCGGGAGGAGAAAATCCACGTGGGCGCTTGGCACAGTCAGCGCTCATTAAATGCCAGCGGTGTTGTTATGATGATGATCCCCATTATTCTCGTTAAAAACTAATTAATTGGAACTAATGCGTCCTCCCTGCGTCCGATTGGGTCTCTCCGAGCCGGGAAGTCACCGGACCCCCCAGGCCAGCTCCGACTCAGACCTCCCACTCCACCCCCCGCACCCCCAGCCCATCGCCTCCTCCCCGGCCCACATGAGGCCTCGGAAAGCTGCGGGCAGGCTGGGGTGGCGCGGGCCTGGAGGCGGGTGGCAGGGTGAGGGCGCCCCTGGTGTCGGCCCCCACCTTGGTGGGGAGTCCGGCACACCCCAATTGAGCCGTCGGGCGCTAGGACCGCGCGGCCCCGTCGGCGCCAGGTTGCGGGCCGGGCTAACCCCGAGGCCACGCCCATGCATCGAGTGATTGGCTCTCGGGCGCCGGCGCGCGGCCCCGATTGGCGGAGGCGGCCGCTGCTCCCGGGCGGCCCCGCCCCGCCCTGGCCTGAG